GTGCTTTAGATGTTCACGCAACGGCGCTACGACGCAACGTGAGCTCGTGTCCGTCGTTGCGTCGTAGCGTGAACCATTAGTATTCGATCCTGAATTCAAGTGCTTCACCACTTGCCATAAAATCTTCAGTTCCGCCTTTGATTGTCACTTTCTTTTTGTCATCAGATAGAGTAACGAATTTGCCGGTTGCAGATTTTGCAGGTTTGGGCAGGTTGATGATGATCGTGTTAGAATGAGGAAGCCCGTTGTCAGCCATTTCAACAAGCCCTTTGATTGACGCATCTGCGTCACGCGTGGCATATTTTTCCTTATTGAGTTTTTTCTCGATGAGCCCTTTTGAGATGGTGAGATTGTAATACTCGCTGAATGGATCAGCTGCGGGTAATTTATCACCAACGCCTGGAGGTAACCCCTCTCCCATGTTCTTCCCAACAAAATAGTTGGTAATTTTTGAGGAGATCGATTTGATCTTACTTACCTGGTCTACTTTTGTAAACGGAATAGAGAGTTTGGTCAGCATTTTCTCATCTTTCAAATTGATCACTAACCCCAGTTCTCCCTTCCTGATCAGATCTTTCTCTTCCGTTGTCAATGTTGCAATGCTGTCGGCCAGGTTTGATAGCGAAACGGTTGTATCCATGGCTTTGTCGCCTGCGTCACCAAGGGCATCGGCGCCTCCCATTCCCTTCATCAGCGCAATCAGCGCACTCATGTCATTCGTGGTAACGGTGGTGCCGCTTCCATCCTCTTTTATAGTCAACTCGTCAGTGATTTCAACACATCCAGCAAGGAAAAGCGCGCTAAGCAAAGCGGCAAAGAATACGATTTTTTTCATTTTTATTTTTTATGGGAATAAGATGAATGATCCCGGTAATGCGTTGCACGATTCACGGAGATGCAAAGAAAAGCATTTTAGCCGGACTACGTGTCTACCCCGCCATTTTGATAACCATTTCTTTTAACAGGGAAGCGTCTTCTACCCCGGTGCTGTTTACTCCGAGACTTTTCATGTTATAGGTATGCAGTAACAGGAGTATTTTCTCCACCCCTGCGTAGTCAAACGTTCGTGCGGCCTGCAGGTAATCTTTCGCAAAAAAAGGATTCACTCCGATCGCTGCGGCTACCCCCTTCTCATCGGTGGCTCCGGCGCCATGAACCATGAAGACTTTACTGAAGAATCCGTAGAGGGAAGGCAAAATAAACTGGATGGGCGCCGCCTTGGGATTTGCTTCGAAGTACTGAATAATACGGATAGCTTTGGGCACATCTTTTTTCGCAATCGCTGACTGCAGCTCAAAAACATTGAACTCCTTACTTACCCCGACAAACTCTTCAATGTCTTCTTCGGTAATAGTTTTTCGCTTGCCAAGATTCACCGAAATCTTCTCTACCTCATTTTCAATCCGCGTCAGATCATTGCCAATATGGTCAACTAATAAA